ATGCTCTTTCAAGCTGTGATGAAATTTTTGTCTAGACTTGTTGAGATCAAAATTTAGTCTATAATGCAAATGGTTCATTCATGAGTGATTTCTTTGACGTCGTCATCTTCTGACTGGTATGTCATTTTTAACACATTTTGATGACATTTTATTCGACTATAAATTGATTAAATCAAAACGTTGAACACAATAATTAGGGTCAACCTTCATTGGTATTATTAATTCGAGACATGAAATATTCGACGTTTGCAACTGGCCTGACAACAATCGATTCGACATACCAGACGTACTACAGAATTGGTTATAATTATTCTGGATATTTCCACGTAAAGGCTAGTTTCCACTCAGGAAAATTATCCGTGGATTGGAACGGACAAGAAAATTTTTCTTTGTCTTGTGAGCTCTGGGTTGGAACAAATGACTTCAACACAAAGAAAAAGTTTCTTGTCCGTTCCAATCCACGGATAATTTTCCTGAGTGGAAACTAGCCTTAAGATATACTTTAATGACTGAGCTTTCTTCCCGCATACCCGCGGGCGGTCTTGAGAGTACAACAGTTGAAGTCGTCCTGGGTCTACGGCACGAAAGCTCAGTAAATAAAGAATGTTTACATGGAAGTATGCACCTTTTAACCAATTCTATTTACGAACTCCATGTAAGTCCTCAACGAGCGTATTACTGACTTACCTTAATTTACACTGGAACATATAGATTGATTGCTCAATAGAAATTAATATTGGAGTGCAAAGTGTCTCTTTGCATTTAGACCTGAGGCTAAGTTTAGTCAAAAAGAAGAACAACGGACTGCTTTTCTTACTGGTTGACAACGGGTGATCCCATTTAGAGAACACTTCGTGCACCGTCAGATAATAGAATGCACGGTTGAACACGAATAGACAGAGTAAAATATATCATTACGAAAACATGAAATAAAAAATCAAATATTTTAAATATATATTTTAAACTGGAAATACGTGCATGCAGCAACCCCTCGTCGAAATATATACTATATGTTACTACTATTATGCATACTGTATATTATTTTGCATTTTGTGAGCTTTGATTTAATGTAAAATTTAATCTGAAGCGCTTCTAAAATGTTTTGAAACCTTCCGTCAAGTAGACTGCTTTTGCTGACAAGCTGTAACTTCAAATTGTTGAAATTTATTTGGTCTACTTTACATTTTAATTTTTTTTCTTAAACTAAACAGGGTAATTTGGGCCCATTGCAGCTACATGCATAGTTGGAAAGGAGGCAGTGCATTGTTTTACGCAAAAAATGAAAGCAACAAAATTCATAAACCTTAAAACATTCAAAGCGAACTTGCCCTATATTTCACGATTTCTCATAGTAAATCAATTCTTCTTATTTCTTCAAAGCAAAATTGTTTGAATGCTCATTGTACGGAACGATTTCCCATATGTTTTCAAAATCTTTGCAGTTGGCTCATACCACTCCTAACAGTTCCAGAATATTTAATGGTAATTTTTAATGGCAGTATCCGCAATTTAATCAATTCAATTATTAACGAACTCCGTGCATGTAAAGCTTCAAAAATATATATTATAAACTTAACTAAAATTTACGATAGAACACGGAATGGGGATTGCTCAATTGAGTTAATATAATTGCAGTGCAAAAAGTCTCTTTGAGTTTATACATGAAGCTTAGTATAGTTAAAAAATAAAAAACAAGGGACTGCTTCTCTTACTGGTTAATAGCGGGTGTGCTGATTTAGAGATCACTTGTTGCAGTCGTGCACCACCGATTATGACATGCACGACTGAACACGAAGATTCATGATCGAATCAATTTTATCTTGCAAGTGAACAGAAATAAGGAGAAAACGCACTATTCAGTCCAAGGTGCTTTTCTATCATAATATATATACCATAATCGTTTTCGTTTCTTTTATTCTCGTTGAGTAATTCAATCTCTAATGTGCACGATCTTGTTCGGAAACACAACAGACGAATGTTCAACTATTGTCAGAAATGATAGAGGGGGGGGACTGTGCTTAAATTAGAATCGTCATTGGGGAGTCTTATAGCAGCGGTAGCTGTTCAAAGAACGTCATGCAGTTAAAAAACAGAAATTAGTCAAAGGTACAAAGTGCTCTTCTTTCATAATACCTTAACTGACGTTCTTTGAATAGCCACCGCTGCTATAAGCCTCCCCAAAGGCGATTCAAATTCAAACACACTTCTCCCCTATCATTTCCGACGCTAACTATATACTGTACGTAAATATTTGGTTTCAACCAATTTAAGAAAATTAGAGATTGAATTACTCAACGAGAAGAAAGAAATAAAGGCGATTAAGAATAATTTACTAACAAAATAATATCATCGCATTATTTGAATAATTTAAACTAATTAACAATAGTTTAATTAGTTAACATGCACAACTCGACGAAAACGAACGAATAGCCTCATTAAACAGACGTTCTATTCGTCGAAACGCATAGAAACTAGCCTGCTCATTGGTAGAGACAGCACAATATGAATTTTCGTCTGATATTATTAAACAAATATTATAATCACATACCGTTCCACGTAACAAACGAGCTCATTTTCATTGCTTGAGACAGCACATCATGAATTTTCGTCTGGTATTACACAGCGAACGGACTCATACGCATGGACAATACAACTATAAATTGTTCGAAATCCATTGTCAAATATTGAATATATTTTAGACACTTTCCCATGTTAACTCCAAAACAAATGTAATTAGTTGAAAAAGTCTGGACCATTAAACTCACAACTCACAAAATTAGGAAACAAAACTCCCTCAATATGTGGACTTGGGATGTTCGCTTGGGCCCCAGTCATTGCAAGGAATAATAATTTATAGAAACGTACGCTGAAGTAACCGATGTTCGGTTAACAATTAATGCATGGTTTACTTCGTTAGCTAAGGGACGGGTCATTAATCATGGAAGGGAGGGGGGGGGCGGTGGATGATAAATACCAAATATTGAATATTCTTTAGAGCTGCCCCCAATCGCAAGACTTTTATTTTCAAGACACCCCACCTTCATCTAGAAAACTTAAAACTTAGGACCCCCTGCAACATTTAATTCGTTACATTTTTTGGTGTAAAATAAGTAATGGGACAAGAGTCGTGTTTACACTACCAGCCTTGGCCTAGCCTTGACCTGGCCTTGGCCTACATCTTGACAGTGTAAACAGACTTTGGCCTAGCCTTGGCCTGAGCTAGGCCAGGAAATATGGGCTCACTATACAACCGGTGGCCTAGGCCTGGCCTGTGCCTAGGTTTGTGGAAATGTAAACACTTTCGGCCCTGTCCTGGGCCTTATTTTCATGGCAACGTGTGTCCACAGTGAGAGATTAGTGGACAACCAGCGGACAACACATAAAAATACACAAAATTAATAACAAAATTCTAGGGCAAAGTGAGCCAGTCTCAAAAAATAGGTTAATAGAGACCTTAAGATTGACGTTTGCGGCAAACGTCAAACCGCTAGCGAGGTTCTTGATTTTACAACTCTATTATAATAACTTTTACACCAGTTTTAAAATATGTTAAACTTATTATAGTTGTACTCTTTAGCAATGATTTAAGAAAGCAAATTAACCACTAGTCATGCCATTCACCAAAGCAGTAAATTAAGATTTGGCGTTTGAAGTTGACGTTTGGCGTATAAATTTCATTCTTGAACTGCTACGTGGGCTTCAAACGCCAAATCTTAATTTACTGCTTTGGTGAATGGCATGACTAGTGGTTAAGTTGCTATCTTAAATCATTGCTAAAGAGCACAAGTTTAATAAGTCTAACATATTTCAAAACTGGTGTAAAAGCTATTATAATAGAGTTGTAAAATCAAAAACTTCGCTAGCGGTTTGACGTTTGCCGTAAACGTCAATCTTAAGGTCTCTAATGGTGTAAACGCGCCACATTTACCTTAGCCTGGCCAAGGCTAGGCCAAGGAGTGTAGTGTAAACACGACTAAGTACTGGGGACCTGTATTGAAAATGGTTCTTATTTACTCCGACTCCTATGGTGAACTGCATATATGTAATAAACTATGGAAACTACGATTATAGGAACTAAAAAATTCTTTTCAGGTTAGCAAATAAATTTTTAATATTTAAAATGGTTAAAAATATATATTTTTGAAAAAATAATCGGCCGAAAGAGCGAAGATAAAAATATAAACAAAATAGAAAAATATTGAAAATATTCGAAAAGCAAAGTCTGTGAATTCCGACCTTGTGTATATAATAAAACAGTTATTCCACTCACTCTCGTCGAATATGAGCGATAGCCGATTCGGCGCTACGCGCCTCATCGGCTATCAGTTCATATTCGACTCGAGTTCGTAGAATAACTGTTAAATATCCTTCTAATCCCTTAAATTTAAATCCCATCAACAATTAGTTATATCGAGTAAAATGCCCAAATTAAAAATCTGATATTTACCTATAAACCGTACATTGCAGGCATCACATTAGTATATATACATGCATGAACTTGTGGTTAGAGCTCGACAACTGTCTCTCTGTAGCTCAGTTTGTTAGAGCTCGACAACTGTCTCTCTGTAGCTCAGTTGGTTAGAGCTTGACAACTGTCTCTCTGTAGCTCAGTTGGTTAGAGCTCGACAACTGTCTCTCTGTAGCTCAGTTGGTTAGAGCTGGACAACTGTCTCTCTGTAGCTCAGTTGGTTAGAGCTCGACAACTGTCTCTCTGTAGCTCAGTTGGTTAGAGCTCGACAACTGCCCTCTGTAGCTCAGTTGATTAGAGCTTGACAACTGTCTCTCTGTAGCTCAGTTGGTTAGAGTTCGACAACTGCCCTCTGTAGCTCAGTTGATTAGAGCTTGACAACTGTCTCTCTGTAGCTCAGTTGGTTAGAGCTTGACAACTGTCTCTCTGTAGCTCAGTTGGTTAGAGCTCGACAACTGTCTCTCTGTAGCTCAGTTTGTTAGAGCTTGACAACTGTCTCTCTGTAGCTCAGTTGGTTAGAGCTCGACAACTGTCTCTCTGTAGCTCAGTTTGTTAGAGCGTTGCACAGCAATCGCAGGGTCGCTGGTTCGATTCCTGTCAGAGGACCTAGTACATATGGTTGCATTTTTTGCAACTGCTCCTGGTTAATAGGTCTGATAAATGTATAAAAATTCCACTTGAAATTTCCATCTATACAAATCCCTTCATCTCATCACCATTAGCATCTTACTCCAAGACAAAGGCGACTATAATTTGCATTCCTTAACTAGGGATCCAAGGATAGTGCAGAGTTTCAAAGACAAACGCTATAAGGCATGCTTATTAATTGCATAGCTTTTCAAGCGTGGTTTATAGCCTTAATCACATGTCGTAGTAGCGCGCGGAACTGTTACAACAGTAAAAAGGCTAAGATCTGGTTAATATAATACTTTACGGTTGAAGAATAACGAGAGTTACGTAATATTATTTATTTCCCCATATAATATTATAGTGACAAGGCATAATTTCTGTTATAATGTTATAAAGTTTGAAATTGAAAGACACTGCAAGAATTATATAGGATCGCCGACAACCTAGAAAAGCTGATGGGTTACACTACGAAATAAACAGTTACCATAGGCATTTCATCTCATTATCTATTGTTTTTAATGCGTTCGGCACACGAGTAACTCGACGTTTAAAACAAGCCTAATACATCAGAAACGTCGTGCCTCGTGGAACTGACACAATTTATTGGAGCTGTCGCCGTATGTATCCCCACAAGACTACTGATATGCTAAACTTATTTAAATCTATGATTATTGCCATCATCGTTTTAGCGCCCATATTGTACATTTGACTATTGTCTCAGTCACAACTTTAATTGAAATAGCTGTATAAGATACGTTATGAATGATAAGCACTACGACGTTGTATTCCATTACAAAAAAACATAAATCTAAAACACGGAAACGTAAAAAAGAGGCGATTTTATCCAAATCCGTTCCGTTCCGCATTTTATCTCCATATCCGTTCCGCGGAGCCGCTCCGTTTTGCATCCGCTTCCGCATTTTAACCTAGTTGTGACGTGTTCACAATAACAAGTCTCACTGACCTTTGAGTTATTTTGAAGGTCGCGTTGTGTTCATGACTGCATTTTCAGCTTTTCGCATGTATTCAATAACGTCACTTTAGATTTCAATGGTTTCACAGTTATAGCAGTGTTTATAGCAGTTTTGACAAGCTTTGATACAGATAGAATCTCGTAAGATATGGTAGAGTTCTCGTTGCACTGAACACGAGTTTGCACCGTTGGCGTTGTGCGACTTGTGCTAGACACGTAAACCAAGATTTTCTCAATATTTATGTCTGAAATGTTTATACATCGCTGCTTCCTAGCCATAGATGTTCCTAGCTCTGTACAATGAATATACCCTCAAAATAATATCGGTACTTAACTGAATGCCCGTAATGCATAACATCAATTTATATATTGCGTAGAATCTCAAAGATTTTCTCAATATAATACACGTCTGAAATGATTATACATTTGAAAACAACACTGTCTCGCTGCTTCAGTTCCTAGCTCTGTACAATGAATATACCCTCAAAATAATATCGGTACTTAATTGAATGCCCGTATAAATGCATAACATCAATTTATATATTGCGTACAATCTCAAAGATTTTCTCAATATAATACACGTCTGAAATGTTTATACATTTCAAAACAACACTGTCTCGCTGCTTCCTAGTTCTGTACAATGAATATACCCTCAAAATAATATCGGTACTTAATTGAATGCCCGTAATGCATAACATCAATTTATATATTGCGTAGAATCTCAAAGATTTTCTCAATATAATACACGTCTGAAATGTTTATACATTTCGAAACAACACTTGTCTCGCTGCCTCCTAGCTTTGTATAATGAATATACCGTCAAAATAATATCGGTACTTAATTGAATGCCCTTAATGCATAACATCGATTTATATATTCCGTAGATTCTCAAAGATTTACTCAATATTCACGTCCAAAATGTTTATAATTTGAAAACAACACTGTGTCGCTCCAGCGCTCCTTCCTACCATCGTCACGCCATCGTGATCTACGGCTTGATAGCGCATGCGCATTTGGGTTGCTAAAGAAAAAAATGGGTTTTCCGGGGGGAAAGATCCTTCACACAACATGAGAAGCGAATGTTATAAAATTTACAAAAATTTACAATAACGACAACGATTCCTCGAAATTTTTGTGAACTTGGCAAAAGGACAAAAGAATATTTAAATAAAACAACTGAAATTGCCTAAATAACCTTCAAAGCACAATAAATCACTACAAACATAAATCGTATACACATAATACACCCCCCGGAAAGTTTACTCTATGACTGATTGACTGACTGACTGATGTGAATTTTCCCACTCATCACAATAGTGCACAGTTTCAAAGAAACTCTGCACTAAAAACTAATTCTGAGCCTGGCGCCGTTATAGGCTAGATGCGAGTTTTTAAAAACTTTTAACATTTTAATGTAAATAATATTTGTGATATTTTCCTGCCAGTACTGCAGTATGCATGATCTGTATATTCTTTTGAAGTCTCAATACTTATATTCAAACATCATTAATAATTCAAAAGCTTATTGGCAAATCATGTCAACCATAATATGGCACGTGCAGTGGCTCTAAACCTAATAAAACACTCCTGTTCGATTATTTAACAGGACGTAATGCACTGCATGCGTTAAAAGAATTTTCGCAAAATGACAGTGTTGCAGGTTGTCGTATCAACACCATTTAATTTCTGTCCTTACGACCGAGAACTCAAATTGGCATTAATCCATTATGATTTATATCAACTCTAGCTTATCTCATATTTCTAGCTACGATTCATGGATTTCATGCACCAGTGCCCAGTGGAATAAACCAATCTAGATTGACTTCTGCTTTCTAGATTGATCAGTATTTTAAGGGTTTTTAAGAATAGCACTCAATATATATTAAAATACTTGTCTAGGAAGCAGGAACACTGCAACATGGGAACACTTGAGCCTCGTGAGTCATGTCTTCCGCATTTATAAAGACGTTACAAACATTAAAGTTTTCTGTGTCAATTTTATTTATTCGTCTGCACACTAGGCAGCTTTGCCAAGTGTTTCTAATTTGCACGACCTGTTCAAACGCTAACAGTAAGATGCTAGCTTTTGAACAAGTCTACTTGTCACATGTCATTTTGTTTCTCTGCATCATTGAAATGAATAGAGAATCTCCCCGGGGGGGGGGGGAGTGGGGGAGGAAGACTCCGTGTTCCCGTATTCACTTGAAAAGTTTTCCTTTGTTTAATTGTTTGCTTGTTCCCAATAAAGATTTCACCATATGTTCCCTTGTTCCCCCAAGTTTTTGTTCCCTATGATTTTTCGGCTTTGTTCCCGCGTTCCCATTGCAAAATATATACCTTGTTCCCTAGCTTGTTCTCTACAAACCCCTAAGAGATCCTCTAAGGCTCTATATAGGTCAACGAAGAAAATTATTGTTGTTCTAGCTGTTGTTCTAGCTGTTGTAGCGGCCAGACAACCAAAAAATTGTCATAGAAAATTTGTTGTACGTACACACGATATACCGGCAAAATAAACTCCCCCGTGAAAACATTTAGACATGCTGTCTTTGTGTGATCCCTTTCATACCAGGCTTTTGTAGTTTTGATTATTTTCATAACAATGTCATATCTGCATGTACACCCAGCTGTTTCACAAAGACGACGTTGCCGTTGGGGCTATAGAAATGGGCACATTTAAATGATACTACAATGATAAATAATAACAATTTGGCCCAATGCAATGGCCATAGGCATAACCCATATGGTTATACTAATGAATATTAAATGGTTGACAAAAATATCAAATGTCATTAGATAGTCGGGCAGATAGAAGGAAAAGCTTACGTTATCGTGGGACAATTCCATTTTGCCTTCATATTGTGCCCTGAAGGCTAGTTAGTACGTTTCTGTATGTTGGCTGCGTTAAAATTTCTTGTGGGCTCCTGCCGACACGTTTTTCTTCGAATGTTGTATTAAACTCTATTACAGTTAAAAAATGTGAAATTTCAAGTACATTTCTAACACAAATGACTTACATCATTTGGAAGCTTGCAAAAAACTACATATAAGACATTTAAACGGTCACCCGGGTTTTTCAAGTTCTTCTTGAGTTATGAGCTGTTGAATGCGTGTTTTCAGACTAGTACCCAGGAATTTTGCGAGATTTTGGCTTATTTTCCACATTTGAAACTGCAATAACTCGAACACCGCTTGAAGATCCCAACTAACCATTTAAATGTTTTATATGTAGTTTTTTGTTAGCTTTCTATTGATGCAAGTCATTTGTATTAGAAATGTATCAGAAATTTCACATTTTTTAACTGTAATAGAGTTTAATACAAAATTCGAAGAAAAACGTGTCGGCAGGAGCCCACAAGAAATTTTAACGCGGCCAACATACAGAAACGTACTTTAATATTAGCCTTCAGGGCACAATATGAAGGCAAAATGAAATTGTCCCACGATATGGTAAGTTTTCCATAATTTTGGTCCTCTATCTGCCTACTCTGCCTGACTAAGAGCTTGTATTTCATTAGTTGTTTTATAAATCAGTAAATGGCAGATTCATGAATATTAACAGTATTTTTCAAAATAATATTTTTCATATAATACTTTAATCTTTATGCCATTCTTAATCGCTCGACACTGGCAGAAGTAAAATCTGGCATTTTGAACACGTGTGTGGAAAGACCGTACAAGGTTGTACAAGGTTGATTTGTGGATAACAAAAAAAATGCAAGGGGCAAAAAACCAAAGGACAATTCTAAAGTCGGAGGCTGCCCCAGCAACTCATAATTGATGATACTGACAAGACAAATGCACCATTGCAGTATCACTTATTCTCCTAGCCTGCTGGAACACTGGATTGTTTTGGTTTGGAAGCAGGCATTCATTCAGCATTTCAGCCGATATTTATAAGAATTAGCAGATTATCAAATTACTGGTTTCCAATGCAACACAGAGAACAGCTTGAACATTCAAACATTCCGTAAACAATCTGATGAAGACTTGAAGAACCAAGTTGAAAGGTCATTATAAAAGTTTTAATCCAGAGAACTCCATGAACAATATGGAGAACTCCAACAATATAAATAATTGATATAATTTAGATTTTGGGTCTAGATCCCATTTTCCTGCCCACTTTTTTTCTAAATCCCATTTCCCAGCCATTTTTTCCCCAAATCCTACTTTTACCATGCAGGCTTTCTTTCTGGCCTGACTTTCAACTGTAAATTTAAAAGAATATCTCTGAGCAGGTGTTTTACCGCTTAAGAGAGGTTATTCAGCTCTGTCTGCTTCTGCTTAATAGAGGTAACCTCTGAATGGGGTAATAACAATGTTTTAGAGGTGTGTCTGCTTAAGAGGGGTGTCTGTTAATAAGGGTTCCACTCTATTTAAACTCTGAAATGCCCAAATACAACTGCCTTTATAATGGTATTGGTATATACATGGGTTTTCCCATTTTTGTGTCTTTTAGCCTGCGAACAGGCTCTCAAGCTGAATTGAGAGCCTGCATCGATGACTAATGAATTTGAATATCTGCGTCTCAAATCGTGACGGGAAATTCTCATTGGTCAGATGATATAATTTATATGTTTCCGCTGAGCTCTATATATGTCAACTGCTGAAGCACTATGCATAAAAACACATTAACTGATCAAATTGGTCTTGGCCGTCTTATCTCAAAGCACGAAATGTTCTGTTTTGAGAAAACAGTGTTTAAAACATTTGAACTTTTCCTTGAATATCTTATATTTCGAAAAACAGTATAAACTGTACGGTCTAAATTTAGTTTGCACGGTCTAAATTTAGTTTGCACGATAGTTGTAAACAACATCATATAAGGATAGACATTCCATATTTGGAAAAACGAACGTTACGGGGCAGATATTCAAATTCATTAGTCATTGATGCAGGCTCTCAATTCAGCTTGAGAGCCTGTTCGCAGGCTATGTGTCTTTCATTCCCAGTAACCCAAATCCCATTTTCCCAGTCCAAAATCCAAAAATAGGCAAATTACCACTTCAGGACCCTTATACATATCTTCATTTTATGGTGCTAAAGAAAATGTATATTATCAAAATGAATAGACACAGTATTAGTGGTTGCATGCAATCAATCCCTTGAGAGGCAATGTTGGAAAAACCAATTGGAATACTCTTTTGATAGCCTCTAACATGGTTGCCATAACACAAAGTGTACACTATATTGACTCAGCAGCCTAAGGCAGGTTTCCATTCAGACTATTCAGTGCAAATGTTGCACAATTAGTGGCGACTTTCAAAATGCATGCTCATAAAAAGTAGACTCACTTTCAACTCTTTGTGATTGCAATCAGAATTTGCAGCAAATAAAAATGGCTGTCGATCAGAGGTCCTGAACAGAATGTGTTTTTATTAGAAAATATCATCCAACTGGATGGGAATATTGTTCAACTCACAGCAATATCATCCAACCAGATTAAAATGTCGTCCAACAGTACTTTTCGTCATTTAAACCACCTATGGAATGCAAACCGTTTGTTGACGGCAGCCACTTTTATTCTTTTTAAATTGTGTGCACTTAATGCATTCACAAGAAAATGGTACCTATTTATCATGGCAGGATTCAAGCCAGGACTCGACTCAGGCCAAAAATAACATCAGGTGATTTTGATGGGTGGAAATTAGTATTTACCAGCATAATCCATCCCTAATAAATATTACTATACCACTACCCATACTACCACTGCATCATGCATCTTTAGCAACTGTAAGCTAGATAGGAACAATATATGTCCAAACATCCTTAAAAACATTCCGATAGGGATATAGATACGATTGATTTGCTGATTTTAGTAGGCAGTCTTTAGGGACCGTTCATTATTTATGGGGGCAATGAGTAATTTTTGCAAATTTTCTTATTTTTCCCGGACTCCATCCTTCGTCAGACTTAGATTTTCGGTTCTCCCCTTATCTTAACATTAAATGTTAAGGTCCCCCTATTAACTACCGTATAATATAGCATGCACTTTACAAAATACATACAAATGCATGTATCATGTTTGTTCACAGTGAATGAGTAACACATGTACTTCTGCAGCTATTGTAATTTATATATATAAATTAATTGCATATATTTATATATACAGTGCTACAATGTACAATTCACTATATTAAATATACATCTTTGTTTTTGATTCCTTTTGTGTGCAACTATAAACTTTGTACAGCAGGGACAGAGAGCAGAAAAGAAAGTTAGTTATTATGTATTGTATTAATATTAAAAGCAACAACAGCAATCTTTTATCAGATTTATAACACGAGTCAATACCCAAGTGTTTTAATAGATGACTGATGAAACATGTACTGTGAGTGTTTTGAATAGCTTCAGAAACAATCTAT